CTTTCTCTGTGTGTGTGTGTGTGTGTGTGTGTGTGTGTGTGTGTGTGTGTGTGTGTTGTTCTTGCAGAATGTAAGTGCTGAGTCCAGCACTGGGGGAGCGGTCTCTCCAGTGGGCCCCAAAGAGCCTCTTCGGTCCTCCACCTCCCCAATGCCTACAAGCTTCCAGTCCTCGCCAACCACAGAGACCCCCACCTCGGCACTGACGCTGTCCCCAGCCACCGCCCCGCCGCACAGTCCCGCTCCCTCCCTGCCAGCAGCGTAAGAACAACACTGATGATGAGTTTTACTTGTAGGGCCAGAAGCTTTTTGTTGGCTACTGTGAGGCTGTGGATGTGTCTGAGAGGTTGTTGTTGGGGAGGCGACAGTGCCGTGGGTACCAGATGGTTGAAGGTTCGAATCTCAGTGCCTCCAGTCCACGTGTCGAAGCGTCTTTGGGCAAGACACGTGGTGCTTCAACACTGTACAACAGTGATAATTCACTTAACCTGTCAACCTGAATAAGAGAAAATCAGTCTCAGCCGACCACTTGGGCTTAGCTGCATTTTAATGTAAAATACTTTCTCACAGTAATAAAAACTATGTTTTAATCAAGGCCCAAGACCCTTCAGGTATTAAATCAAACTAGAAATGCGCTGCATTATTTATGGAGCTTTTCACACACAGTCCAGTTCTGACAGACTGTGTCATGGTCAGTCAGTCCTCACATAAATGTTTCATCATGTATTTTAATGTCATTGCCTCCTGTTTGTGTTGATTCCAGGGAGGTGAAGGCAACAGAGGTGAAGTTGAAGGAGATACCGCTGTCTGTAGAGCGAGTCCCCGGCACTCTGTCCACTGCAAGCAAATCAGTGCAAGTCAACGGTGCTGCCACAGTCAGTATCATTTTCTGGTTTCTTGTTTTTCTTCCTTCACCTGTCCCCTCTGGAATGCTCACTCCGTCTCAGACAAATCAATCTCAGGGTGAACAGAAGGTGGTATATTAATTGTGTCTTAATGCCGCACTCTCTCACATTGATTCTGATTAGAGCCGAGTTACTTTCTCAATGGAAAGCTGTGCATTTTTTTTTTTAACACAGGTCTGAAGGATGTGCCTGCAACAACTTTGTCTTTTATTGAAAATTGCACACAGCCCTCGCCCACAGGTCAATGTCAGGTTTTTGAAGAAAATGGTCTGATTTTAAAACAGAACAAACTACTCCTGCTTCAGTTCGGGTGAAATAACCCTCAGCTTGGGTTTTTAACATTGCAGTAAAACACGAAGTGCTAAAACCTGCACCTGATGTAACAGATTCATAGAAGGCTGAGGCACCTGTAGGTGTGAACAGAAATCCCCGGAGGGCTTTTAAGATATTCTGATCCATTACTGTGTACACATCAGTTGTGTGCTAGACATAAACATCTCCTGCTGTCAGGTTGATCCTCTGAACATGTAGTTATTCAGGGACAAGCCAACACCCTTGTGTGTAAGGTTTGTGACAGCTACAGATTTTTCTTTTTTTGTTTTTCATTTTGCCCATTTTTGTAAAGTGTTTGCATGTCCTTGCATGCATCAGCTTTCTAGTGGGTTTAATTAGGTTTTCATTTGTGGTGTAGTTCTTTGTGTGCTTGTTGCTTCTTCACCTGCCCGAGGACTGCAGTTAAATAGAATATATGATGAAAAATAGGAGGGAGAAAACAAGTCAGGTTTAGCAGATTGTTAATTCACTGAATCAATAAACACATGGTGATGCCGGTTGTATAGTACTGTCAGTGCTTGTCAACCTACCTCTGTCCTAATTAGACTTCAAAATGAACCCTGTGATGGCAAATGTGTCGATGCCAGTAGATGAGGTTTGCACAGCTGCAGAATATTATATGACTCTTGCTGTTTTCCTGCCAGGAGCTGAGGAAGCCCTCCTATGCTGAGATCTGCCAGCGCGTGAAGGATGCCCCAACATTACAGCAGCCCGCGACCCCAAAGGAAGCCAAGCCAGCCTGCACGGCCCCCGCAGGCGAGGAGAGGAAGTTTCCCGATGCTTCTATCCTAGCAGGGGAGACTAAAGCCAGAGAGACATGCCCCCCCTCCTCCAAATCCAGTTCGATGGCTGTCACCCCAGGAAGACCTGCGAGGGAGGCCCGAAGGCCGGGCGGGCGGTGGGCCTCCCCACCCTCACACCCAGGGAAACCCCCCAGCAAAGATCCCCACCACACTCCACCCAAGTCACCACAGTAGGGAGACTTCCTGCCTCTCCCTGGATTCTCCAACTCCCCCCCATGCTCCACAGATGCGTTTAAAAAAAAGGAAATCTAAGTCAGGGCTACTCGACACTTATCCAACTCACCACTCGCAAACAAGCATAGAGGACGCCTTCTTTCCTGGGTCAGGGCCTGCAGACAAAAAGCACTTTACTGTGCATGTAGAGCACCGTTTCATTCTTTTTACTCTATTTATTTGCTTCTTTAATTTTAAACTTTCTCTTATTTCTCCTTTTCTCTTTTTTGCATTATGTAGTTGTGCCAGTGTGCAGTTGGCACCGACAGCACTGAAATTCATTCATTCTGCCCAAACAGCCTTCTGGGACTTAAATTAGTCTAGTGTGCACAGCAGCAGGGCATTGTTGGCTGATGGCATGTTGAGTGGCACCGGAGTGCAACATTATGTAGCTTAATTATGGCTCATAATTACCAGGTGTGATTTTAATACATATTCACTTCCATATGCAACTTAAGATCTGAATCACAATGAATCTTGGATTCTGTGGTTTACATCACCTCAGTCATTTCTTTCAACTTATTTGCCCTTATTTACATGTTCCTTTGTTTTTTACAAGTTCAGCTTTGTTTGCAGACTGTTGTTGTACAGATAGTGCTGGTGATCGTTGCTGGGTGTCTCCTTAGCGTTTTCCTTCTCTGATCATTTCTCTCTCTCTCTGTGGTTATTTTTGTTGTGCTAACACTGCTAACTGGCTAGTTATGTTACATAGCTTTTGTCTAACAGGGCCGTTTTTAGTGCCAGGCAGGAGTGATGTCTATCTGCAACTAAAACAAAAAATTAGCAAGCAAGGCCAGAATTTGTTTGTTGCAAATGTCTAAGTGGGTTTAGATGGTTTAGATGGCAAAATTTTCTTGGCATTGCATTTTTGAGGAAAGCAGAACAAGCAGCTGCAACGCTCTCCTCTTTTACTTCCTGTAAAATTTGATTGGATTAAACGCAGCAGGTCCAGGACAAGGCAGGTCTCATGCAGACATTTAAAATCCAGTTGTGCTGATACAACAGCTGCTTTTCACCTAAAGCTGTTTGGTTCACTCTGGAAGCGATGAAAAACTGGTGCAAAGGAAATGAACACTAGCTACCATTCAGACACCATAACCCAAGTCAGTTTACCAAGGAGGTGGTGTGCTGAGACACTGTGACTCTTCAGGGGACAAGGAGCGTTGGTTTCCTGCTCGTGTCCAGAGTTTTGGTGACAGTGGGCTGTTTCTTGTTCAAACCATTCAAACAGCATGTTTCTCCTCCTAGATATGGTGCTAGACGTCCAGTCCCGGAATCTGTTACTACAACTCATCTGACACTGTACATAGAATACTTGATTTACATTTGCAAAATTTTATTTACACTGTTGGTGTTTTCTCAGACTTGCAGGTATTAGATTGTCTCATCTGAAGCAAAAAAAGGGAATTGGTCCTCAAAGTTATGAAATAATTCAGTTTTCCAGGAGCAACGAAACTAAGACCCTGCACACAGTTGCTGGAGCCGTTTGGTTTGTGGTTCTGCCTGTTGAACGAGAGGTGTTTGTGAAGTCATGTGGCGCTGCACAGAGTTGTCCAGGTTGTTATATTTATTATGGCCCGCTATTGATGCTGAGGTAATTTTTTATTTTTGTGGAAGAAGTTGGTGCTTGAATAGATGCATCGGTTTAGATTTGGCCTCTGTTTTGGTATCGGTGAGAATTTTCTTTGAACGAGTGCACATAAAGCTGATGGATATGGAAAGTGAGATAGCTGAATAGACCTAGGATATTTTTGATGAAACTTAACCAAAGGAAAATGATAACTGGGTTGTTTGTAGCACAGTTGACCGTGTTAGCATGTGAAAGAGATTGTCTGGAGCTCGTGAACAGCGATGAGTCGAGCAAAACATTTAAACAAGCAGTTAACAGGCAGAAGAGCAGGCGCCTGCTTTTATTTTGATGTTGTCGAGCAGTTGCCACTAGTGTTGTCATTCGTTTTGTGGTCAGCATGCTTCCTCGAGAGTTTATGCTAGTTCAGGTTTTGCACAGTTTCATTTGTCTTGAGTTCAAAACTTTCTTAAGAAGCTAAAGAAGATTGACCAAAGCACGCAGCTCTTCTTGCTACTTCGCTCCTGTTCTTTTGATAAACTGGAGCTCAAAGGAGTTAAACCTGAAGCACAGAATGAAGGAACACGACCTAGATTCACCTTGCACCTATAAAATGTGGTTTTAATAGCAAGGTTTATTTTTCCTGGGACAAAATCAAGCAGCAAGAGCTGGTAGAGAATTTTGATTCCTGGAGTAAAGTAGCAGGAACGTATGTTCGGGGAGGCAAGTTATTGAACCTGGTTTGTTGACGCCCGTTTATTGTAGCAGCCACTTGGGCAAATAACCAAGGATGTTTTACTGGAGTCTCAAGTTGTAATCACCTGGCAGCATGACCTAGAAATGACAGCCAACTGATTAGCTGGATTTACAGAACGTCATAAGTTTAGTTTTTTGGGATGTAACGGACCGGAGATGAGTTTCCCTCCCTGCTCATCAGTTGTGTGCTTGGGTTAATCTCTGAAGTTGTCACCTTTGATGCAAAATATCCTTAAAAAAAAAAAAATCACTGTACTATACATGATAACTGTTTAGGGGGAACGCAAACCTACACAATGTGGGACCTTGCATATCTTGTCAAAGTCTTCCTGCAACAAGAATCATTCTGGCTAACCCCACTGAGAAAATAGGAGCCCTTCATAAAACACCTGCACTCCTGGTTATAGCTGCTTTTGATTTGGATGCAAAATCTTGAGTTTGCTTTAATAGAAAAAAATGTTTTTGTTTTTTTTTGGAAGAACTGAGATGCACCTGGATGGGTCGATTCTTTTCTTTTCTTTTCCCTCATCGGTGGAAATGGTAAAAGAGGTGAAAATGCACCATATCCACTTATTTATACACCAGTGTTGTTTATTCCATTAGAAATATTAATTTTTTCAGGGAGGAAAACGCAGAAATGCATCACGGTCTCTGTATATACGCAAGATGTATAAAAAACAACAAACTAATACAACATCCATCCAGTGTTTGAGAAACTTGAATTTTATTTAAACTTGAAAAATGACTTTGCCTTAACTTTTATACAAGACAAGCATAGAGTTTATTTCTTTTCAGAAAAATCCCCAAAATGTTAAGGAAGCATGACACATGGAAAATACTTGTTCGTAACAGACGTTACAAGTCTTACAGAGAGAGTACACATCTATCAGCAGTTTTAGTTTTTGTAAAATGTACGAAAAAGAATCATTTTGGTTTTTTTCTTTTGTTTCTTAATAGTTTGAAGTTTGTTTTTTTGGGGGAAAAATATAAACCTTGTAAATGCAAAACTAGTCAATACTGTATTACATATGTGCACTTTGAAGTGTGTGCTTTGCTTGTACAGTTGTAAATACTCAGAAAAATATGAGGTACCTTAAAAAGATTATAAAAAATATTGATCTTGTTGAACTATTAATGTCGCTATCGAGCTGGATGTAAGATATAAAAAAAAAAACAATGTTGTGCTTCTGGAAATATTTTTCTTTATCTTTTTCATTTCTGGTTCGGGTGTGTGGAGTTTGAATCCTGCTCCACTCTGCAGCATGGGCAGGTTGTCTGATTGTACTTTTTCTGTCTTTCATTCCATATTTCCTACCTCTGTGGTCTGTAACCCTGCCCCCCTCCCTCTTCACTGTGCATAGTTTGAAAAGAGCCTGTGGTACTGAGAAGCACCTAATTAATGAACCTTACAAATCTGTGTGTCCACCAACATCCTCTTTAAAGCCCTGGCTGCTGCTGCTGCTTTGACTTCTAACATGGGAATCCACATGGTGTCACTTGTTTTGAGCACAAGAAAACTGCAGCTACTGAGTAAGAAAAACACTACATGTCAGATTTGCATCTTTACTGTGCAGTAGCAGATGGGAGACTGCTGTTATAATGCAAAGAAAAGTAATTTAAAAGGTACCTTTAAAAGCATTAAAGCTTTTATAACAGAATTTTAATAATCTAATGGGGGAAGCAGCCTTGTAGACGTGCTAACTCAGCAGTATAGGTATGTGCAGCTCTACGGCATCTAATCAAACTGCACCGGGTCAGACAATATGACCAGACTGTAGCTACTGTTAGGAAATTAATGTTGGGGATACAGTGAGCTGGTTGTTAACATGTCCACTAACTTCTGTCATTTCTGTAAGGCTAAAACACTTTTTTTTCTGTCCATAGTTTAAGACGAGCAGCTATCTGCTGCACTGGATTATAACACATGGCGGTTTGTCATTGAAGGAGTAGTTAAACATTTAGAGAAGTACACCTTGATCTTTCTTGGAGTGGGACAAGAGAAAGCTGGAGCCAGGATTTGGTTAGCCTAGCATAAAACGTATTGGCAACTAAACTTTGTCCAGAGTAAAGGAAAAAAAAAAAACGCCTTCCAGCAGCTCTGAAGCTCACACCATTAGTACACAAATATTACTGTTTTGTGATTTAGTTCTGGTCAAACCTCAGACGGAGCTCTGTGAAGATGTGACTGCACCCAGTTGTTGTCAGAAAGTAGCTCCAGGTTGTTACTCCCCCTAAAAAATCACACGTGTTTTGGTACTACTTTTTGTTTACAGCCTCACTAAACAAAATAACACATTAATTTGAGATTCAGATCTGGTGGCTTGTGTTTTATTTTAACTTTAAACCTGTCTAGCTGCGTTTGCCCGTTCTGATTGATGCTAACAACATTTTAAGTCCAGTTCCAATAAAATGTAGACGCAATGTTGAACCTCTCATTTCACTTGTTAAAACAACAAATGAGTCAAATTCCCAAAAATCCTGACAGAAATTTAGCTGTGAATCCAGACTAAATCTGGTCTGGGGCCAGCTTTCTACGCTGGACACTTTTCGTCTGTGCTTTGCACACATTTCCTAGTTTGCGTCTGGATATCCAGGCTTCAGTTTATCTTTAACTAATGGAAGATGTAGTTGTGGAATGCTAGTAAACTGAGTTAATCTTGGTTGAAATGAGATGTTCAAAGGTCTCCATGGTCCCTCATATCTGAAACCTTGGCCTGGATCTATTCAGGCCCAGTTCAGCATTCACTCTGGGTCTTTCATATTGTGGATCACTTCCACCTGCCCTCTGGTCTGATGATGTTTTGACAGCTTTTCCTGTATTCATCTTTGGAGTTGACTGCAGAGTAGGACTTGTTGTTTTTTTTCTCCATATCCTAAAAGAAACAACAGCTTCATTTAGTTTTTCAGAAATACACAAAGAATCCCTCAGTACATGCTGAAAACCAAAAGCTAGTGGACCAGCCGCTAACAGCAGCATCTCAACAAACTGATGTTACCCCTAACATTCATTGTTGCCAGTGAATAAGAGCTATGGTTGATGGACACTGCAGTTTTGTCTTTTGTGCTTCATAGAGATTCAATGTGTGGCGCTCATGGACAGTACCAGTAAAGCACAGCTTGTACAGCACACGACACTCCGGGTGGGAAACAGTTGGTAGCCCCCTACATTGAATGATGCATCTCTGGGCTGTGGATTATAAATTTTTATGACGGCACCAGGTCTCGTTTCACTTCTTGGGAAATGCAGTGAGATATTAAATCTGTTGTCACCGATGAAGGTGGAGCTTCATCTTCCCACCCGGGTGTCGATGTAGGTTCCAGATGAGACATCCAGTCATCCAGAAATCTTTGAAACCTGCTCAGTGTTTGTCATGACCCGTCTGATTTATTCATTTGTTCTTGTTTCCTGACTTTCTCTCCTGAGAAATAAATGTAGAAATAATTTACTATTTTGCTTGTTTTTTACAAGTTGGGGTCAGAAGCAGAGGCTCAACTGGAATCAGTTTTTCCTGGCACATCCAGTAACATGCAGATTGAGATGTGTGATCACATGTGGACTGCAAACAAAACCAATAACTGTGCCATTACACAGCTGTGTTTGTCTTGATGGGCAGTTCAACCTGTATATAGCTGAGCGCTTGCCCTCTCTGGCTTTTTCTAAAAGTCCATCAAAGACTAATCACATCCGGAGAAATCTAAAATGTGACACCCCTCCCCTGCGTTGTAACTTGCGGCTGATCGCCGCTGAGGTCGAGGCACATTTGACCTTGAGGTTTGAGACATAAACACAGATTTTGATTATGAACGGGCATCACTGAACTGTGAATGTGTGGGATATCTAGGTTCGTTCTGAAGCATCGCACCTCAGACTGGATGGGTGCCGCTTTGGGGGAGCTGTGATGGCCGCAAGTTGTGCACGCCTCTCCCGTCTCGCCGGCATTAACACAAACACTCAGCTGTGGCATTTTAAAGAGCTCCTGTTTCTCATGGATTTCTACATGGAGCATCACGCTTCATATCAGCCTTTAGGCCGCCTCCGCTTTGTCTCTACCTTCCAGATTGCTCGTTTCTAATGTGCCATTGTTTTTGTTTTCCTCGGGTCGTATCTTGTCATAAAAATTGACCCTTGTGTCTGTATGTGTGTGTGGGTTTTTTTTGTTTGTTTTTTGTTTTTTTTCTCCAAACAATGATTGCACACCAACTGACTGGAACAAGACTCGATCTCTTTATTACTTACTCACTGTGGTTTAACTCTAACACTTACCATGCTACGCTAACAGCTGTGGACAATCGGCGACTCCTCTGTGTTGGGGTCTGGACATATAATTTTGCCTAATGACACCTTTAACAGATGTGGAATGGAGGTTGCGTTCAAGAGGGCTTGTTTTGTTTTATGTTTTGATTTCTTATGTTTTTGGGTCTATTCTTCCATTGAGACTGGAATCAAGCATACATGTCAGCTATAGATAATTTAAGTTGTCATAATGTAAAACTCTAATTTGGAGAAAAAATGTAGCTTACTGAAAAATAAAGATTTAGGCACTGCTGAGGAGCTGCTCTTTTTTTTTTTTCCTGTGGAAAAAAATGTACACCTTTTAACTTTGTAGATCTCTCGACAGATGCATCTTGTCCTCTAATCCCCTTTCTGCTTGTCACATTTTAGAAGAGTTTAAGGTTTAAATTAAATTCAGGCTGACACTGAATTATGTGCTATAATAAACACAACAGTAGTTGTGACATTTAGATATGAAAGAAAAAAAATGTCACAGTATCATGCAAGAGTTTTAGGAACCCTTATCCAACACACACTACCGTCATGGAAACGTCTGATTGGTCCCAAATTCATTCTCCAACAGCATCATAAATCCCTTAATTTCATGGTAAGTTGCCCCACTAAACAAAACCATATGGGCCAAATGACTTATCTTCAACCTCATGTGTCCGCTGGTCCTGATGAGAGCAAAGAGCCACAAGATGGCAGCATGTTCACAAACAGCTGTCAGCACTGTCCTGCTAGATGATGATGATGATGATGATGGGAGAATCTGGAGCCATTACTTCATCTTTGTCATCTCATTTTCCTGTAGTCCCTCCAGTTATCACACACTTCTAAGGACATGACTTTCAAATTTATTGTTCTCACACTGACATAGCACTCGATTGTCAGTTTATGAGGTACATCTGTAAAAAACTAACTGCTGCAAAAAAATGTCTGTGCAAATTCTGTCATGCTGAAAAATGTAGAAGAAATCATCTGGTTTTAAAACTACATCCAGATTTCTGCAAAAAATTGATTGCCGCAAAAAATGTTTCACGAAGGTGATTGAGTGGTGTTTGATTCACCTGCGTGATCATTGTGGAGACTGGAGTTTGTGCTGCTCCTGAGCTGTACTCAATTATACAGAAGCGTTTGTTATTTTGTCCACTTCATGTGTATTAGTGAGCCACGGTGTAATGTTTTTATGCTGCCACCTGGGGGATGCCAAACCAAAGGTTTTCCAATTCTTAGTGTTTTTGTTCTTTTTCTAAAGTGAGGAGTATAAGTTATAAGATTAAATAAAAACAAGGTGGGAAGACACTGACAGATTTATAAGATAAACTGCTGACACCTCCAATAGTTAACAGAGCAACAGGATCCTTCATGTGGGGTTGTGTCTATCTGATGAATTCAAGTCCAGTATTCTCTCTCTTGTAGCTCTGTGTTTGGTCTCCTCCACTTCCTAAGGGAACTTTCCGGCTCTTTAGTTGCCAGATGCTCTACTGTTTTCATCTGCTGATCTCCAACTGTGTCTATCTGCCGTTTGCTGCTAGGCAGGTAGCAAACAGTGCCTTTTTAGAGTGTCTTCTATGAAAACAACAGTCACAAAAACATTGCAAAATATTAACGGGAGACACAAAATGACCATTAGTGTGTCCTTTGTAGTCATTTTGTTTCTCTTTCAGGCTGAGGGGCTTGTCCCATTGTAGGGGGATTGGGGCCTTTCATAGGTCGGTGCCCATGGGTCTGTTGTTATATAATCTGCCCGTGGGTAAGAGTGCCTCAGATTTCAATATATCTGGATTAATCTGAGTAGATCCTGTTTGAACTAATAGAAGAATGAACAGATTGAATAGTGAAGAGCTGAAAGGGTATGTAGGAATAGAATCATCCATCACTTTCCTGTGAATCTGTTGTTGCTAAAATATGACCTCCTCACTGATAGTGTTCTGATTATGAATGCTGTGCCTGGTACAATGAGGCCAAGGGACTGGAATGAAATCAGAATCGGCTTTATTAACCAGACACACGAGGAATTTGACTTTGGTACATCGGCTCTCAATGTCTATGTACATATCCCCATGCAAGGGGCAAGTAAACAGTAAACCAACATAAGGCTGTGTAATATAACAAAATAAGCAGTATTAACAAACAATGCAAAATAAGCAGTATAAACAGGCAGTAAACAATGCAGAGGAATGCTCATTGAAATGAGATAAACAGGAATACAAATAGAATACTTAAAACTAGATACCTGTACGGATCTGTATAATCTGTACAATGTATATTTACAGGTATTGCACTAATGAAAGGTATTGTACTGAGGGTTATTGTCCAGTCATACTGTTGTGGATCAAGTGTTCATCAGAGTGACAGTCCGGGGGTAGAAACTGTCCCTGAAATGTTTTATTTAACTTGGTTTGTATTTAGTGGTCGATTCCATAGCAAAAGCAAAGTTGTAATGTACCTTGGGTTCTTTGTCAAAGAAAAAATGTCATCGTCTGTACTGATTGGTCAGTTTGTCGCCAGTGCAATAAATGTTGACGCTGATTGGTCGGTTTAGTGTCAAGGTGTTACCACGTGATGAGTTGTTCTCGACCCAGAAAGCCTACAAAGTGGGGGGGGGAATCTAGGAATCTAGGAAACATAAGAGGAATGCACAAACGGTCCAAAAAGACAATGAGAAGCGAGACCAGGAGTAACTTAAAAAAAATGTATACTTATCAGGATTCTTCAAAAAAAACCTCAAAACAACAAAGCGGCAGGTGCAAGTCCATAATTTTGTGGCGCCTTTGTTGTGGTGAGGCTTGACATAGTAGTTTCATCCTGTGCAGTGCTACAGTACATCACCATGTACTGTAGCACCAGGCAAAGGGCCTGTGATGTGGTTCAATCAATCGCCCCTTACTGCAGATGATACAAAATAATTATTGTTTTTACTGTTTTTATTATTTGCTATTTCTTTGATGCCTCCCTTGGAGGTGCTGAAGTACAGCTCAGGCTAGAACAGAAGTTACTTCATATTAAAATGGGTCTGCTCCTCAGTACTTCTGTTGGCATGTATAAGAACAGGACACCGAGGGTTTCTTATTCATTTGTCGAGATGTATTTTTGGATTTTATTTAGTTTGATGTTGTATGTCTTTGAACATTTCTGCATCATGTTGAAAATAAGCATAATAATAATAAGCAAAGAATAACTTTTAGTGTCACTGCCTTCAGTTATTACTGTACTTATGTGGATCAGTGTTAATTCTTGATAAGCGACTCTAAGAGTTAGATGTGTTGTTTTTGAAATGAAAAACTTGGTTTACCTTCCTCTCACATTTTCTCAGTCGGCTTGTTTTTTTGTGTTCCACCCTCGGGCTTATTATCAGCTGAAGTGCACTACGTGGTGATTACTCACACAAAAACTGGAGACGGCCTTGCATCCCGAACAGGGTAGAAATTAAAACCTGACGGGTGCTGGAAATGTTTTCTGGTTCTCTGCCCTGTTAGGCACCTTGGCAGAGAATGAATAAAGCTTCTGGTAAAATTAGTTCAAAGTGATCCCTGAAATTTGGATGTTGTAGCGCCAGTGAATTGATTGTTTTTTTTTTCTTGTTCTTCTTTTTTTGCTTGTCTGTTTTCACATCAGATATAAATTATAACTCAAAACAAATTGTACTTAAGTACAGTGCTTGAGTAAATGTATTTAACGTACTTAAGAATAAAATGTTTAGACATCAAAGTATGTGGAAATCTGAACATTACAGCCACAACTATTTTAAATGATCCTTGTGTGTTATCTAGATTCCTCCTCACTGCAGCAAAGGGACCTGGACCAAACCAGAACCACAGTAAAATATACAAAAGTATTGTGGGTGTCCACATACTTTTGTCCATAAAATATACAGGAAAGGGCAGCGGTCTGTCTCTGAATTTTAGCAGAGCTAAATATACAGATAGTTCAGTCACCTACAGTAGGTTCCACCTGTCAGGGACATGAATGCAGACACAATTAACAAGCATCATACAAGAAATCACTTTAATTTGCCTTCAAAATAAAAGCAGTTCAGTCAGTTATTACAGTCTGATGACACCGTTGCAACAATGTAGTATCTGTCTTGTTTGAAAAGACAGAAATCAAAAATATGAAACAGAAATATTTCTTCAGTGTATGGTTCAGCCTGTTGTATGTATTTCTTTGGTTGCATTTAAATCTTCTGATGTCTTTGTGCACTTTATAAATTTGGCAAGAAAAATTGTGATTTTTTTTCTGTGAATTTACATTGACATTTTAAACAACAGTAGCTGTGAAGACTCAAAGTGTCTACATGTAGGCAATTTGATAACTTTAGTTTTTCTTCAGAATCAAATAAATAAAACAAAATCATCAGACTTTATTAATCCTCACCGGGATATTCTCAAGCTACCCAGCTGTAAGCAAAGTACTTCACATTCTGTATAAGCTATATAAGGTAGTTAACATTTGCTCCACCTTTACCAGCTGCAACATTATAGTGATGAACACAGTAATGTTAACTAATTATAATCAAAAAATTTGCTATACATTAATGTGAAATGTGCCATTCTGCATATTGACTACTTTTACTTTTGGTCCTTTAAGCGCATTTTGATGCTAATACGTTTGTACTTTTACTACATAACATTTTGAATAGAGGACTTTTATGCTATTTTACACTGTACAGCTGAACCTCTGTAGATGTTTCTTTTTACCACTGTTCTCATACTGTGCATAGTGGTAGTACTGATGGTAATGCAACACAGAACGCCCTGTCGGCCTCTTATTCTGAAAAGCGGTCACCGGAAGAATAAGCGCCATGCTTGCGCTAACTTGCCGCTGTTTGCTGCCGCTCAGACAGCGACGCTCACCGACCGTTATCGACATA